ATCGACGATATTTGTTGTGTATATAAAAATTAAACTAATAAAAACTTCAACTACTGTTATTACAAGTCATATGAACTTTACTTCGTCTAAAATACTAAAATATTAAGAAATAGTTAATAAGTAAAACAAAAGGGCACTATTTATATAGTAATAACTATTTTGAAGCAAACTTTTTGACAATCTAAATCACATAAGTAGCATTGATAAAAAAAAGTCATTCTTTTGTCTTGAGCATCAAAAAAATAAATCGTGACAATTCTCTAAATTTTGGAAAAAGATATTCAGAAGCATATATCTACCTCACAAGAAAAATTATTAACAATAACAAATGAATTTAGACTTCATCATGTTAACTTCATATATTGAAACATTACATACTAATGTGTATATTAAGAAAATAATAATTATAATATCATCAAAATTATTTTCCTCAAGTACTTGAGGTTATAGAATATACTCTCTTAGGATAGAACGATTTACTTCATCAGAACAATGGTACCTCATATTCCGCTAAACTATTAACTCACTCAACGACAATTCTCCAAGATTTTATAAACCCTAGGTCGAAACAACTATGTAGAATCATGGAACAAACGGAATTCTAGGGACCTAGTGGATGAAAGGAACCCACTAGTTAAATCCACATACCTAGTGACGAATTCTATGGAGAAATCCTTTGATTTCGAGGCTGAAACTTGACGAACACTGCTGCTTGTTCTTGATGGAAACTAGCTCCTATTTCTCTTCTTTTCATTCTAATTTGGATGATTTTTGGAGAATGAGGGTTCTGGTATGTCTGACTGGCTTAAACTGAGTAAAACAACATATTTTAGCCATCAAACGTCGTAGTTTAAGTTCCCAATGCTTAGGGTAAAGAACCAAAATGACCTTGACATAAAACTGATGAGTGTCATCTACTACAGAATTGACGGGTCATCATTTTACCTACCAACCATCGTTAGGAGTCATCATTCATGCTATGATCGACATGGCTTCACTAAAGCGAGCATAAATTTTTATTCTGAGCTTGGATTTGCAAACTCAGTGGCGTTGGAAAGAGGATTTAATTATCTTTTATTTGATAGGTCATGGGCCACCTAATTCATTTCGTGCTAAAATATATGATTGTTTGAAGTTGACCCAACAACACTTTTCCCCTAATTTGCTTTAGACCCCCACCTATGGTCCATAGGTCTATCGATGGACCGTACTTGTCGACCGTGGGTGAGATCATAGAGTATAAAAAAATTGGACCTTAACGACGAAACCCCACCTACGGTGTGTGGGTGGTTCTGTTGGTACTAGAACCAATTTTCCTAAAAACTATGTTTTTCTCCATTTTTAGATCTGAGGTGTTACATTATCTCCCCCCTTGGAACATTCATCCTCGAATAGAGTCTAAACAAGCTGAGTATTGACGGAAGGAGCTGCAATTTCTACCACTAAGTACTAGAACCTGATATCTGACTGATCTGAGTTCCATGAACATGCAAAGAGGCTAAAATGCAAGGATAACTGAGGGAACAAGATGCTGAGATTGAATTACACAAGAGTAAACTGAGAGGCTTGAGAGGAACTATTTCCTCAATCTAAAATGGAATCGGAAGGAAAGAGGTGAGGATACTTTGCCTTCCTGACTGCTTTTGCTTCTCAAGTTGCTCTCTATGGACTGACTCCTCCACAAAATCTTAACTGATGCGACTTTTTTATTTCTCAACCTATGAACCTAAAAGTCAAGGATCTCATCTGGCACCTCTTCAAAAGTGAGACTATCCTTAACAACCACACTCTCTAATGGTAGTATCGATGTCGGATCACCCACACACTTCTTCAACAAGGAAATGTGAAAGATTGGATGAACCGGTGCTAGTTCTACTAGCAACTCTAACTGATATGCCACATTACCAACCCCTTTTCAGGATTCTGTAAGGACCAACATATATAGGAATGAGCTTCCATTTCTTTCCAAATCTCATCACCCCATTCATATGTGACACCTTCAGGAAAATCCAATCATTGATTTCGAAATCTAAGTCCCTTCTCTTCACATCTGCATAGGACTTCTCACGACTCTAGGCTGTCTTTAGTCTGTATCGGATGAGTTGAACCTTCTCCATAGCCTCATGAACTGAATCTGGCTGTATCAAGGTGGCTTACCTATTTCAAACCAACCAATCGAAGACATGCTTCTACGCCCATACAGTACCTCATACGGATATGAATACTCGAATGGAAGTTATTATTATAGTCGAACTCTATGAGAGGTAGGTGATCACCCCAACTACCTTTGTAATTGATCATACAAGATCTTAACATATCTTCTAAGGTTTGAATGGCACGCTCTGACTGACTATTCGTCTGTGGATGAAATAATGTACTAAGATTTACCGAGGTATCAAGACCTTTCTGAAACGATTTCTAGAGATGAGGGTATACTGAGGACCTCTATCTAAGATAATAGACAAGGGAACCCCATGAAACCTGTCTATCTCATGAATGTAGAGTTTGGCGTAGTCCTCCACTGAATCTGTAGTCTTGACAACCAAGAAGTGAGCGGACTTAGTAACTCTGTCCTTTATCACCCAAATGGAGTCATGTTGTCTGCGAGTACGAGGTAAATCCATAATGAAGTCCATGTTTATCACTTCCAAATTCCATGTAGGAATGTTAATCTCCTGAATCATACCTCCTGTTTCTAATGTTCTACCTTAACCTATTGACAATTAGGACAATTAGCCACGAAGATTGCTATGTCCCTCTTCATGCCTCTCCACCAAAAGACTTCCCATAGATCATGGTACATCTTAGTGGCACCTAGATGAATGGAATACCTAGAGTTATGAGCTCCTATAAGGATTTTCTCCCTCAACCCACCCACATTCGGAGCACATAAGTGACCCTGCTAACGAAGCACACTATCTCCCCGTGGAAAAAAAACCTTGACTTTTTGGTAGTGAACTACACCTTTCAACTGAAGTAATATAGGATGACTATATTTTTTTTCATTAACCTCCGCTACCAATGAAGATTCTGATCCATTCTGAACTATCACTCCACTATCTGATGTGTCTATAAGACAAACTCCTAAGCCAGCAAGCCGGTGAACATCTTTGGCTAGCTCTTTCCTTTCATCCTCAACATGTGCTACACTACCCATAAAAATCTTTCTGAGAGCATGAACCAGTACATTGGCCTTACCCGGATGGTAAATTATATTTATGTCATAGTCTTCTAGGAATTCAAGCCATCTCTGACGAAGATTCAACTCTTTCTGGGTGAACACATACTGGAGGCTCTTATGATTTATGAATACATCAACATGACAACCATACAAGTAATGTCTCTAAATCATTAGGGTAAATATTATGGCAGTAAGCTCGAGATCATGAGTCGGGTAGTTCTTGTCATGAACCTTATGTTTTCTGGAAGCATAAGTTATAACCTTACCTCGCTGCATTAACACACAACCTATGTTGACCCTGGATGCATAATACTTTATAACCGTTTGAACCATCTGGTAGAGTCAAGACCGGAGCACTAGTCAACTTAGTCTTCAGTTCTGAGAAAATTTTCTCACACTCATCTGACCACTAGAATTTGACCTACTTCAGAGTCAACTTGGTCAATGGGGAATTTATTGATGAAAATCCTTCAACAAATCTCCTGTAATAACCAGCCAAACCCAAGAAAATTCAGATATTAGTTGGGAGAATGGGTCTGGGCCAATGTTGTATTGCATTAATTTTCTGAGAATCCACTTGAATCCCTTCACCGGATACCACATGACCAAGGAAAAACAATGGAGTGTAACCAGGATTCACATTTGATGAACTTAGCGAATAACTAGTGACCTTTGAGAGTTTTCAGACCAACCTTTAGATAAGTTGCATGCCCCTCCTCACTTCGAGAATATCTGAGGAAATCATCGATAAATACAATAAAGAACAAGTTCAAATACTATTTGACCAACCTGTTCATTAACTCTATGAAATCTGCATGAGCATTTGTTAGTCCAAAATACATAACTACAAATTCATAATAATCATACCGAGTTATAAAAGTTGTCTTTGGAATGTCACTATCTCTGACTCTGAGCTGATGATAGCCTGATTTGAGGTTTATCTTAGAAAATAAACTAGCACCTTAAAGTTGGTCGAACAAGTCATCAATCCTGGGGATGGGATACTTATTCTTGATTGTGACTTTGTTCAACTGCCGATAGTCAATGCTCATTTTAAGAGAACCATCTTTATTTTTCACGAACTACATTGGAGCACTCCATGGAGAGAAACCGGGTCTCATGAAGCCCTTATCTACAAGGTCTTTCAACTGCTCTTTCATTTCCCTAACCTATCTTGGAGCCATTCTATAAAGAGGAATCGAAATGGGTTGAGTATCTGCGAGGAGATCTATTTCGAAGTCGATTTCCCTTTTGGGAGGAACTCCGGGAAGATCTTTTGAAAACACTTCTGGAAACTCATTTACTATTGGAAGTGACTCAAGAGTTGGAGTTTTGGAGTTTGAATCCTTAATCTGAACAAGATGAGAGATATACCCTTTGGAAATCATTTTTCTGGCCTTAAGGTATGAGATGAATCGACCCATATGCACTAAATTGCTACATTTCCACTCTAAGACTGACTCATTTGGAAAGTGAAATCGAACAATTCTAGTTCTACAATCGATTGAGGCATAAAAGGAATGTAACCAATCCATGCCTAGAATGATATCAAAATCTAACATTTCTAACTCTAAAAGATTTATTGAGGTTACTTAATGAGAGACTGCTATAGGGAAATTTCATTATACCTGTCTAGCTATAACTAGGTCACCAACTGGAGTAGAGACTAAGAAGGGTTCAGAGACAGTTTCTAGACTGACACCGAAGTTTACTACTATTTAGGGAGTTAAAAAAGACAGTGTAGCCCCTAGATCTAACAATGCATAAAATTCTAATGAAAGACTCGAAACGTACCATTGACCACATTAGGAGAACCTTCCTAGTCCTGGCTAGCCTGAAGAGCATACAACCTATTCTGGCGCTGACCCCACCTATTGTTGTTACCTCCTTTCCCCTGCCTAGAAGAAGGGAAATCCTTCAACCTATGGACCGACTGATCATACCCAAAGCACCCTTCCTTTCCTGCAAGACACTCGCCCAGGTGGTTCTTACCACACTTTGGACATGTTGGGTAAGTACTCTTACCTAAAGCACTCCATTGAGACCTAGAGCCTGATGCCCTACCTTTATGATCTTGTCGAAACCTGGGGGGATGGAGCACTAGTTGATGAAGGTGCTGGGGTTGTAGACCTCTGCTGAAACAGTGAGTGATTCCCAACGTCTGACTTTTTTTGTGAGTATTCATAGTTCCCTGTTCTGGCATTTTTGTTATCCTTAGCCAATTCCCTAAGCTAATCTCCCTCAACCTTCTGAGAATGAGTCACTAGTCTGGACATATCCATATACCCTAGAAACATAGCATTCCTACACTCAGTCTTCACGAGATCAAATACCCCAAACAAGGACTTACTCATTTGTGCCCTTGAATCGGCAACCATGTGTGGAGCATACCTAGAGAGCTGAGTAAATTTCAGCCCATACTCTTGGACCGACATTGACCCCTGCTTTAAGTTCATAAACTCTTTTGCCTTAGCTTTTATCAATTCCCTTGGGAAGAAACTGTCTAGGAAAGCTCCAGTAAAACAATCCCAAGTCACAGGAGCTGCATCTGCACCCCTATTATCTTTCCACTGAGTACAACAAATATGACCCACATCCTTAAGTTGGTAGGATTCCAACTCAACACTCTCTGTTTGAGTCACTTGCATTACTCCAAGAATTTTCTTAACCTTGTCAATGAAGTTCTGTGGGTCCTCACCAACCTTCGATCCAAGAAGCTTAGGCGGATTCATCTGAATATAATCTCGAACCCTAACTGCAACTGATCAACCATTTGTATTAGTAGGAACTAGGACCTGCTGATTATTCTGATTGGCAACACTTTGAGCAAAGAGCTGGATTGCATTCTCAAATTTTGCATTCGTAACATCATGGTTCGGACTGGAGGAACTTGGTTAGCATGGCATGCGTTAGCATTTTGTGCATTTTTAACGACTTGTTCTCGTCGTTATAGAAAAGCCTCAGGGAAAGAATTTGGGTTAGAAAACTATTTTGTAGTAACTTAAGAATTCCTAGCCTAGTCCAAATTTGGACAAAATCAAAGTCAGTGAGTTCTAGAAAGATCTGGTAGAAAATGAGAGACCTAACAATGAATTTGTTTACATGAGTAGATAGCTAAGACGTTAAGAAATAGGTACAACTTTACGGAATCAAATTCGAGCGAGTAGAACTCCCGCAACTGATCTTAGCGTGAACATGTAGTTTCTGACTGTCATGGGATGAAGGTGTGTTGTGAAATGAGGGTTCGAAACTATTAATTTGAGTCACTGTTTTTCTGTGAGCTCCTATGACTGGGCCGCTGTGGCGGGATGGGTGCCACCATAGCGGGACAGTCGCGACTTAAGTCGGAAATAAATCCCAAAAAGGTTATTTTCTGCAAGTTTTGTTCTTGAGAGCTAGGAGACGACCCCAGGTGATTTTTTGACAACATCCCATGACTTTCGATGCTAAAGGTAAGGTTTTCACTCCCGAATTCCACTTTGGATTCGTAGAACGTAGAATCTTGATTATATATTGTTGGGGGAGGGTTTTGAACTGAATTGGATGGTGGGAAAAAGCCCTAGCTGCACCTTAGGATCATGGGTTTTGTCTTGGGTTATTGGGTTTGTTATAATCCATGTAAATTAGACCTTAATTATTGATCCTTGAGTTATATTACTTGTTTGTAGACCTAGAACAAGTAGAAAAAATACGAAAATGGAAGAATCAAGTTTCTTAGGGGGATACAAGCTTGGTTTCGAGGTAGGTGATGGTTGATTTGTTGTTTTGTGTGATGCATGCTAGTAATTGCTTCATAGTTGTAATGACGCGAGAGCACGCCCTAGTCATTACCGGCGTATTCGACCTCTCAGAGGTCTTATACAAGCCATTAGCATTCGTCATAGCATTTATCATAGAAAAATAGAGGAAAATTTAATACGTTTTCATAATATAAAACAAGACATAAAAGCCACCTCATTTAAACCTTTAATACAAAATCGGAGTAGTACGTCTCAAGGTAGCCATCTTAAAACATGACTACAACACAAGAGGGACACAACCCTTACAATACAAAAGAAACTACTATCTAGTACATAGAACTTAAGGAAACTCTTTAACATAAAGGTCCTTGAATCTTTAAGGACACACCCGAACATGGGAATAGTAAGTCAAGCTCATTACTTCTAGGAAAAAACCTTTAGCCACCACCACCTACACTTGGTGTAAAAGATGAAGAAGAATGGTGTTAGTACAAGAATGCACTAAGTATGATAACCATGCAAAACATGCTTTTAAAAGGACATTTAGTTGGAAACCATGCATCATGCCTTTTTAGAGAAACTTCAAGAACATTTAGTACATTAGGCACAATATAAACCACATACATCATCATACACATGGAAACCATTCATAATTGCACATAGAGCCACTTATAACATTTTAGGCACATTCAATGCATACAATACATTACCTTCCTCTTTATCTTAATTCCTTTCGTCTAGAAACCCTTAGGGAATGCTTGGTTCAATGTATCACCTTAAGGTTACCAAGGGTGAACTTACATATTGCCTTCATCAATCCAACCACATATATTCATAGAGTCATAAGTACACCATAAAACATAGTCTTCACATAGGAACCATCACCTAAGACAACCCCCAAGTCACACTAGTGCAATGTGCAAGTAGCATCCCATAATACTACTCACACCAAGTGTTCCTAGGAAGCCACCATAGACTAGGCACATCATGTTCAACAAGTCATAACATCTTCATTTAACATTAGACATAAGACCAACATACTTCATAACATCATATAAAGACTCATTCCTTTACTACATCATTAGTCATAACCCATTTAGTTCATATCATAGGTAAAGCTCCCTCACAACCCCTTCACAAGCTCACTTGTGCATTGTACACATGGAGTCCCATACCCCCACATATACTAAGCAAACCCATTAAGAAGTCATAAGTGTAATTCACATGCATAATCATACTTCATGTCTTGACATAAGCAAAGTCAACCTTAACATTCTTTCATATTAACATACATAGACCATAGTCTTCATTACATAAAGAGCCTAATCATAACCTCCCTTAGAGTACATTTGTGCAATGCATAAGTAGGGTCCATAGTCCTACGTACACTAAGTAACTCTTCAAGAAATCATGACTAGAGTTCATATTCTTATCTTAATTCATTTCTTAACTTTCGGGAGACATTGTCATACCCGACATAGACCATGTGAGCTACATGGAATTCGGTGTTCTACTCCCACACCGAAAAGAGAAGGTACTACTTGCCAAATTAGGACCTACATACATAATAGTTATCTAGCGGATCCACTAAGCTAATACCTACGGGGGCACGTAGTTATGGAACAAGGAGATTGCTACTAGAAAACCTTGACTTACTAAGTGTGGAGGTTTCCATCTCATGAGACAACATCTATGTTGGGAGCCCAGACTTGCTAAATGTGAAGGTTCTCTTGTGGGAAGCCGGACTTGCCAAACGTGAAGCCCCCCACTCTCATTTTTCATGTTCACTCGGTGCTAAGCTCCAACTCCCTTTTTAAACATCTTTAAGCCTTTATTTAACTTTAGTTCATAAAATAGGCTTTAGGGACTTAATCCCTCATATCATATAGATCAAAGGTTTCTAAGATGAGAATGACCTTTCATTGTAGAACCTACATTATATGAGAATGACCTTTCACATAATCATACCATATTCATAACATAGTCTAGTTTAGAGTACAATTGAGGAAACCTTTCAAGAGACTCACTTTCACTAGATTATCATAAACCTTATTCATTCATTCATGTGTGTGTACATATGTGAGAAAGCCTTTCACATAAACACCTTTATACAACACATATTCATACCTTGCTAATCATACACTTTGCATGCATAATAAGATGTAAGGTGCATATAAGAGTTCACTTTTCAATAGACACCATAATACATCATATTCATAGCTATACATGTAGAGTGTGTGTGTGTGTATTGGTCCTCATAGTGACATATTAGCAACAACATTGATATTGAGTGTTCTTCCCATAAAGGGATCACAACACATTCACAATGTCCCCAATTCATGAGCAATTCACATATAAAGCCCTTAGGGATTCTAGACCACACACCCACACTTCATCATAGGAGACAAGGACACATTCAACATTGAATAGGTACTCCTAATATGTATATGATCAAACATTCATATAGGGTTCATATAGGCAGGGGTCATTCCACAATAGTATCTAACATAATCAATCATGTAGACCACACCTTATCCATAACATTATCATTCACATTATAATAGTATTCTCTAAATGTACATGTATATTCATCTATGATTTTTTTGTCATTAGATTTCGGTTTATGATTTTTTCTTTATTTTGTTCTTCCACTTTTGTTGTCATACTACCAAATTCATTTCTTATAGCTACTTCATATTTATATAATATTTCCATAGTTGTAGTACCTAATTCACCATTAGATTTTTTATTAATTCTTAAAGTTTTCAAACTTTCCTCTGATAAATTTTGCAGCCATAATTTTACTGTTCCTATAAGTGTTCTTTCTAAATATCCTGGTGTTTCTGTCATTCCTATTTTGTTATCTATTAATTGTTTTGATATATATCCTATCCATAATTGGATTGTGTTATTTATATCTGCTACACAGTCTAAATCTAAAAAATGATGTTGTTCAGTTATTGATTTAGGTGTCCATTTTTTATTCAATCTTTTATCCCATATAGTTTTTTCTCTATCATATTGTTTTGTTCATAGTTTGTATTATAATATTTTAAATTTTTTGGTTTAGGTGTCCAAATCAATGCAATCTATTCAAATAGATAAACACAATACGGTTTCGAAACTAACAACACCCATACTACTATTTGTCAAGCCTAGACAAAAAAAAAACTCACCTGAATTTATAATCAAGTTCCTAATGTTGATTTCAATTAACATGTCAACTCTCATATTTCAAAATTCCATGTCTAGGGTTAAGTTTCAATTTCTCGAATATCATAAATATAATAATATCAATATAATAGAATACACCTAATATTTAATTACCTATCTTAATATATCAAAATTAGATTCATAATATGATAATAAAAACAAAATTGCTATTGATAAGTTACAGAAAAGATTGACCGCAGAACCTAACCAGTTGACATACTACATACTCTATTCCTAATTCCTAATGATTAATTCTTAAAAGGGAAATCATTGCCAAAACATTATCCCATTGATAGCCATCAATTATTGGTAAAGAATTAAGGGTAAAAAAAATGATATAGTGCATGTATCTAATTTATAAATTTAAGAGGCAATCCATTTTTTTCCTACCTAATATAATATTAGTTTTATGCATATATGAAACAATCATTATAAAGAGACATAGAATTGAAGCTTCACTTGAAGTTTACCTCAAGCGGTTCGTACTCCTTCGTTTGATGTCGCTTATGTAATTCTCCTTTTTCCATTTTTCTTCTGTGTTTTCTGACTTCTTTTAGTTTCTTAAATTATGAACCAACAATTCTAAACCCTAATAATTTATTTTCCTATATGAGTCAAGTGGTATAAGATATTAAACAAATTATAAACTTAACCCATTAAGCATTAACTAAAAATATGCCACAATCCAAAAATGGATGTGATGGCACTCGTCCAATCCCACCAAGACAAGTCAGCCTAAAACTCAACAATTTCAATAAAGTGTGGAAATAAAATAAAAT